ATGCCAATACTGTAACATCAAATATAAGCACCAGCTCACTGCAAGAAACAAACCAGCTGATGTACAGCACAGCTGCAGTTATAACTGAAGATCTCGAATGCAAAATCAACAAAAAAGAAAAAAAGCCAAATAGTGCATCACCAAAATGGAAGATCAGGTAGGAAAATAAGATCAGAATGCTAAGATCAGATGCAAGCAAGTTAGAACAGATGAAAGAAAAAAAGCTGAAGAACAAGAATACCAAAGAATACATGATCAAGAAATATCACCTAGAGACAAGGAAAATCAAGGAAGCACTGGAAATAATAAACCAGCAAATAACAGCCATAGCCAAGAAAATCAGCAGATATGAAGCTAGAATTGCACACTACAGGCAGAATTTCCAATTTCAGTCAAATCAGAAATGTTTCTACCAATCCATCAATGGAGAGACTGCAATGAACCAGCCAACACCTGACAAAGAAGAAATAGTGCGGTTTTGGGCACAGCTATGGGACACCCAGAGAAATACAGCAAGAATGCAGCTTGAAAGAAGCTGAAATGAAAGAACTTGTAATAACAGCAGAAATAGTGAAGAAAAGGGCAAGGAAGACCAAGAATTGATCAGCACCAGGCGAAGGGGAACTACATGGTTTTTGGTTGAAACATCTAACTGGTCTGCACCCACTCATTGTCAAACAGTTTAACAACATACTGCAAGGAGGTAAAATTGAAGATTGGTTAACATTATCAAGTAGGGAAAGATCCAACAAAAGGTGCAGCACCAGGCACCTACAAGCCAGTTGCCTCCTTACCAACAACTTTCAGATTGCTAACTGGTGTAGTAGCTGATGCAGTCCAACAGCATCTAATTGAAAACAAGCTTTTTGCATCTGAGCAGAAAGGAAACTGCCCAAATAGTAGAGGGACAAAAGATCAGCTGTCACCTAACTGACAAGATGATTTTGGAAAACTATAAGATAAGGAAGACTAATTTAAATGAAGCTTGGATTGATTACAAGAGGGCAGTCGACTCCCTGCCACATGACTGGATAATCAAGTGCCTAGAAATAACAGGAATCAGTAGAAACATCAGAAACTTTGTTTCAAAGATCAATGGCACGATGGAAGACACAGATGCTGGTCAATGGTGATAGACTGGGAGAGGTTAACATCAAAAGAGGAATTTTTCAAGGAGACTCACTATCACGACTACTGTTTGTCATTGCATTGATTCCTCTGTCAACAATACTGAACAAGTCAGGCCATGGCTATCAAACATCAAAAACATTTGCCAGGCTATCCCACCTCCTTTACATGGACAAACTGAAGCTGTATGGAAAAACACCATCTGAAATAGAATCGCTGCTCAACTCTGCCCAAATATACAGCCAAGATATTGCAATGGAATTTGGACTGGACAAATGTGTCACCCTTACCATCAACAGGGGAAAATAGTGAAAACGAAAGGAATCAAAATGTCCTATGGAAATAACATCAAGAGTCTGGATGAAGAAGATCACTACAAATAACTGGGCATTCCTTCAGGCTGACAACATCAAGCACACTGAAGTCAAGAAGAAGGTTAGAAGTGAATACATCAGAAGAGTGAAGAAGATCTTAAAGTCTAAACTCAGTGGCAAAAATACCATCAAGGCGATTAACATCTGGGCAATTCCAGTCATTAGATATACAGCTGGAATAGTGGATTGGACTCAAGTTGAACTAGAAGTCCTGGATAGGAAGACCAGAAAAATAATGATAATGAATCATGCCCAATGACGTTGACAGACTGTATTTACCAAGGAGCATAGCTGGACATGGAATGTTAGAAGTACACCAGACAGTTGAAGAAGAAAACATTGGAAGAATATCTGAAGGACAGTGAAGAATATGCACTGAAGCTAGTATACCATGAATGTTTACTGAGTACCAAAGAGACCAAAGTGGCCTATCAGAAAGACCAAATGAAGAATAGAAAAGAGACATGGCAAAGCCAAGAATTACATGGCCAGTAACCATAAAAAAACTAGCAGGTAAAGCAGATAACAAGAAGACCCAGCAATGGCTAAGAGCAGGAAAGTTGAAGAAAAAGACAGAGGGGCTAATTCTGGCTGCACAAAACCAGGCCTTAAGAACAAATGCATATAAAACCAGAATTGAGAAGACAGCAACAGACCGCAAAAGAAGCTGAATAAACAGTGGACCACCTAGTTAGCTGCTGCAAGAAGATCACACAGACTGATTACAAACAATG